CGTAAAGGACCTCGACTCAGGAGAAAAAGACTGAACATGATCGAGTACTCCACATCTTCCTTTGGCTTCAGTGCATACACAAAGAAAGGTGGGTGTAAGCACTGCAAACACATATGTAGACCACACACATGAATGCACACACACACACACACACACACACAAAGAGGGAGAGAGATGCATTAAACTTTAAAAACTAGTACATGCATGCAATAACAATGAGAAGAATAAAACCGAGCATTGGTGAATCTATACACCAACTGAAGAGAATATGTCAAATACGTAAGAATTAAAATCATTTAGCTTGAGCAACATACAAATTGAAGTAGTTTCTAACTATGATAAAAGAATGGTATAGTTAGGAAACAAGATATAAAAGACACTAAGTATAAAAGTAGCCAGAGAGAGGCTGCAGAAGTGGCTCAGGGCATGAGTGTGTGAGGTTCATGTAGAAGACACAGGTTCAGTTCCCAGCACCTACACTGGCTGTGACAGACCTGACAACAGCCTGTACTCTGCTCCAGGAGATCTATGCTGTCTTTGAGTCTCTTCTGTTACCCACAAGCATATTCTCACCCTCCCCCACAGCAGACACACAAATAAAAGGTCTATGCATACCTCAACATAGAGTGATAGAAAGCTGCTCAAATAAAATGACAGAAAGTTACTTAAATATGGTACAATATCAGAAGTTCAAGAAACTAAGAAAAAGCCTAACACAAAATGTTGAGGAAGCCCAAGTTCTACCACATCACACTCAAACTTCTAACATCAAAGACAAATTTTGATATAATCCAGAGAGAAAATACATCACACCCTCAGAAAAAAGCAACCTGGTCACGTTCGCCACTGAGACAATGCATTTGTCACTGAGAAGAGGGAAGAGAGCCAATGTTTCCACGTGCAAAATAAAAAGCTGACAACTCTCAATTTTATATCAAGGGTATCAGCCATAATATTCCCAGTTGAAAGAAAATTGGAGAATCTGGCAGATTCACATAGATGCTAAAAACCATAGTTAAAAGAAAGCATCCAAATAGAAGGGGCATAAAAGGAGATTTAAGAGAATAAGGAAGAAAAAAGACAAAACATATTCAAAACTAAATTTTAGTTGATGTACAGCAGTGCTATTTCTATATATATTAATTTGTGTTAAAATGGATTTATAAAAAAATTCTATATGATTAGTAATTAGGTATCTTGTTGAAAGTAAATCCACATTTGTCTTTAATAAGAATACAAATATTATGATATTTTTGTAAATAAAAAACAATTTAATTCCCAAAGGAAAAAATGGATTTATATTGTTTTAAACAGAAGGAAAATGTGTAATTTTTAAGGTTATAAAACCCCTTTCTAGTGGGCAGTGTGACGCTTGTGCTCAGTGACTTGTCAGGTATAAAAGTCAAGGTGGCTTTCATAGCCACTGTCTCAGTGGAGGGGCACAGTTTACTGCTTTGCCAAACCGGCTCTTGCTATGGTATTCAATACACAGAAGGTTGGATTCCCACACCCACAATAGAAAAAAACTATGGACAGAGTTGAAACTTATGGTGGGGAGGATTAGATGCCTTTTTATGACTAATGTGTCATTTGCCTGCCTTCTATGCCTCCTTGTGCTTAATAGTACCCTTTCTTTGCTCCCTTTCCAAATTTTAAAGTATACTAAAAAGGAATAAATACAGTAAACACTTATTCTCTTACATTTTTGAAATTATTTTGGAAAATTAAAGCAAAAGTGAAAGCAACCGATATGGTTCTAATTACAAAGAAAAAAATAATTAGCAAAAACAAGCATGAAAGGATAGATGGGTTTCAAGAGAGGTGACATATCTATATTTCAGTTATAGTGACCAAATGATAAAAACCATTAAGCTACCAAAAAGCTATGTATAAACATTATAACACTGAGAAACCGTAAACAAAAACTATGCTGAAAGATACTTGTAGGGTTTTTTGGGGGGGCGGTGTTTTTGATTTTGGTTTTACTCTTTGAGGTTCTACCATCAAACTCTCAATAAATATACTTATTCTTATGAATTCTTGGCCTTAGCTTGCCTTATTTCTAGCCAAGTTATCTTAAATTATCGCAACTACCTTTTGCCTCTGGAATTTTACCTTTTTCTATTTTTGCATATTTCTTCTTTCCTTCTTATTCCATGGCTTGCTGTATTGCTGGTGACTGGCCCTTTGCATTCTCCTCTCCTCCTATTCTTGTTCCTCCTTCCTTCCCTTTCTTCTTCTAGTTATCTTTCTGCCTGGCAGCCCGGCCTGTCCCTCTTCTGCTCAGCTATTGGCTGTTCAGCTCTTTATTAGACCAATCAGGTGTATTAGAGAGGCAAAGTAACACAGTTAAAGAAATGCAACATAAAAGAATGCAATAATCTTTACATCATTAAACAGATATTCCACAGTATAAATGAATGTAACACGTCTTAATTAATATTTCAAATTAGATATTCACATACCAAAATTAAGTTCCAAAAGTCATTCAACACATGTATTATTTGTAAAAATAAGGAAAAGAATTAAAACAACAGAACAAACAGAAGGCAAAACTGTGAATAAGTACTTAAGCTCTCACATATCAATAATTGCATTAAGTGTAAACGGCCCAAGTATGCCAATAAAAATTTGAGTGGATTAAAATACATGACTAGACTATTTATTATAAACAACAAATAATGATACAGATGACTTAAAAACCAAGCAATGGGGGAAAACTATAGAATACAAATATTAAACACATCATGCTGGGTGGTGATGGTACATGTCTTTAAACCACGCATTCAGGAGACAGAGGCAGGCAGATCTCTAAGTTCAAGGCCTACTTGGTCTACAGAGCAAGTTTCAGGACAACCAAGGCTACAACAGAGGAAATCTGTCTCAAAATAAAATAAAAATGAAGAAAATAAGGAAGGGAGGAAAGAAAGAAGGAAAGAAAGAAGGAAAGAAAGAAAGGAAGAAAGAAAGAAAGAAAGAAAGAAAGAAAGAAAGAAAGAAAGAAAGAAAAGAAGGAAGGAAGGAAGAAGGGAGTATGGAGGAAAGAAAAAAGAAAGAAAGACAAAAAGAAGAGAGCTCATATGTCAATGTTATAGTTGGGTAAAGTAGACGTTAGAACAAGATTATCACTAGAGAAAGAGATTGCTATTACATGGCAAACAGGCCCAACTACCCTCAACACATAGTATTAAACAGAACTCAACATGTAGTAACACCAAAAAAACACTCAGAGAACTAGAGGAAATATATGTCTCCTTAATTATACCTGGAGACATCCATATTTTTATTGAGGCCTCATTATATTCAAGGCATGTGTGTGTGTGTGTGTGTGTGTGTGTGTGTACACTAGAATGTCTGATGTGTGATCATGTGTGATAGTATTTTTTATATTTGTCAGGGAAACTGCACCCATCAATCTCCACAGTACAGCTGCCTAAGCAAAGCTTGCACAGTGACAACACCAGTTGCCATGCCAATATGATAGGACTATGATAGGGGAAATCTTACTAGACGAAGAGTTGCAATAAATAAATGGCTGCTGAGAGAGATAGCATAAGTCTTCTCCAGGGACGAGCCTCTTGACCGGTTATCCAATCTTAAGTCATCAGTCCCAAAAAGATATGCATATGAGCAGCAATAAATGGACTCAGCAGCTTGTGTGTGTGTGTGTGTGTGTGTG